AAAAAGCAGCATTTATTTGGACGTATTTAACCCAATTACTATCTAAAATATGACCCTGAATAATAAGATAAGTACTTAACGAATCATTCTATTTTCTTTCTGTTTTTCAGCTCTTTGGTGGAGAAGGAATCAAAAATGAAGCGTACCTAACAACTGTCGCGACGCTGACTTCAGTGTTCAATAGCCTGGGACGTGTATTTTGGGGATCTCTGGTGGATCGGTTGTCTTTTAAGGTGATTTTCGCTCATATGTTATTCGGTCTCTTAATTACAGTACGGCCTAAAATTCTTATGACATGTCGACATATGCGAAAGATTGATACGCTTTTGCTAGGCGGCATTGGGTAAGGTTGTAATCCTGAATATCATGAAGCATATTCTTAAGTTATTTCAGTTAGGTTAGTAGGCCGGCTTTTTAACTAGCTTCATTCTGACCGCCAGCAAAACGTATGTTCTATAAAAACTGGCTGCTTAAGCAGCATACATTTTTGTCCTTGATTTTGACTGCTTTTATAAATCCAAATATATTTTATTGAAAACATATACGAAACAATTTATTTCTTGTACTTGCTTGGTGGGAAATTGCGCCTTCTTTAAATTTTATACTTAAAGCAAGTCTATCTTTCGGTTTTAAAAAAGTTTCTAGTTCGCCGTATAATTTTGGAACCTACTGACTGCTACACTAAGATTTAAGTTTTAAAATCTGCACGCTGTGTACATCTTGTTTAAGTAAAAATACCATTTCGCCTACGGTTTGAGGAAGAAGTCTCATAGTCCTCATAAAATGTTGCAATATATAGGCAAAATTAACAAATTGACGGATACGATTTATTATGAACGAAAACGTCACAAACGTAAAAAAGCTCGCAATTAGAAACTTTTTAAATCAAAAGATGTGCTTTCTTTAAGTCTAAAATTTAAAGGAGGCATAATTTGCTAACAAACGAGAAATAATATTTTCATGTATTTTTTCTATAAAATGCATTTGAATTTTAATAGGCAGTCTAAATCAATGATATAAATGCATACTGCTTTAGCAGCCACTTTTTTATAGTACATACGTTTTGTTAGCGGTCAGACTGCAGCTCGTGTAAAAGCCGGTATCTTATCGTAACTAAAATTCCTTCAGATCTATAAGTAGTATTAAAATCTTACTCGATGCCGATTAGCAAGAGAGAGAGTATCAATTTACGCGTATTTTGAGTCGTTCTGTAGTCTCCAGTACATGAAATGAGCTGTCTTTTACAAGGCTCTTAGTAAAACCTCCATGATCGCATATATCTTTTTTGTAGATACCAATATGCGTTATGCTGCTTATATGGTCCGCCTCGCTATTCATTTTTCCGAATGTCTTCCTCTGGCCGGCGGCGTCTCAGTACGTATACGGCATCGTAGTCTGTCTGATGTTTTTCTGCATGAGCGGCGTATTCGGTATTATGCCAGCGGCCACGCGGATCCTCTTCGGCAACCAGAACATGGCCACCACCTATGGCATGGTGTTCTCTGCCTTTGTGAGTTTTGATGTCGTACATTGCAGTTTAGCCCTGATGGTAATTAAAAACTAAAAAGGATATGCTACACTCTCTTTGAGTTGACCCTATTGTGAAAAACTCGAGGCGTTTGTCGGGATTTGAACTCGCGTAGTAGAGAAGGCCCTTACCGGAAGCCAACGCTCTAAATACTGAGCTACAAACGAACCACCTTGCTCCATGAATTTAACTACACTTGGGTCAATATAACCCACCCAACTTTACCGCTCGTATGAAATCAACCAACACGGAACAGCAAGCTGACTGCAGTTAAGTAGCTCAGTGGTCACAGCTTTGGTTTCCGGTGAAGGCCTTCTCTACTACGCGTTTTAAAATCCCGCCGAACGTATCTAGTTTTTCACAATTGGGTCAACTCAAATTAAGCAGATCTGCCAAACCTTCTTATGGCAAAACTCTCGCTACGCTCTGCCTGCTTTTGCACTTTGATGTGTAATTAACAATACCAAGCGGAGCTTGCTTAAAATCCAGTAGTAAAGGAACATGTTTTTCAGTGGGTAATGACTACTGAGGAACGCACAAGTACAAGCTACTGTGTACTTACGTGTACATGGTTGGGCTCTGATCATGCGTGATCTAGTTGGCCTCACTTATGCCACTGACGATACCTCTCCACATGTGACGATTGGCAGCAGCGGATCTGGAAAACTCCACCCGGTCTCTTCTCCAGTCACGGAGACCTTAAACTGAAAGTCCGAGTTACCGGCTCCAGGTATAAACAAACGGTGTCGAGCCAAGTCTTGAGTTACCCTGTCGCAGATTCTTGCGTTCTCCACATCACAAGTCGAGTGAGACGAAGCTGGAAGGAACAGCTTCAGTGTCAGAAGATGAACTGCACACAGGCGTTGTGAAGAGAAAGCTGCCAACTACGTCCGCACGTCAGTTGTGTAGCTTTGCCTGCGCGATGAGTACTCTATTATCTGCAGCCAATAAAATGAAGCGGAAGTATCGATCGATAGTTGATCGATAGCGTGAAAAAGGCCGAAAGCGCGCGGAGGAAAAAATAACGCGTGGGCGAAGGCCTGACAGAGCGAAGACAACATAGGTCACGTACAGTTGCGTTGGGCGGGCAGTGTGCGATCAAGGGCAATGTGACAAAGCCTTTGAGGGAACCGACGCAGGGATCACTCAAACAACCTAAAACTTATTTTTGGATGAACTGATATATCCTTGCGATATATGAACTAATTCATTATGTTTCGTCTATTCGATGTTTTAGTCCGTGGGAAGCCTCATAAGTGCTGCGGCCGCTCAGGTTGCAAAAGGCGCCTGGAAGGAGCTCTATTACGCTTCTGGCAGCGTCTGTATTGTGGGTATGTTATACATTCTCTACTTAGAGTACTTATATCACATATAGATATATAGTTTATATACGTTTATTAAACAATATTCACTGTGCTCCGGTAGCTATATTTAAATCCTCCGTTAATATATCTATGTCTTAATACGCGCACATATTATAGGTTCCGATATAATATTGCTTTCATCATCAGCCCTAGAAGAGGAAGAAAATGAAGAAGATGTGCCAGTTCCTGAGATGTACAAATGACGACACTGGCAGACGGAAAGATAAGGACATCGATCTACCGTTAGGTAGCGAACACAGTGCGCGTCCTCAACTTCAGAAGCATCCACCCCGTTAGTCACAAACGCAGTTGTGCTTTAAGACCCTCCTCCAACGCGTTCAGACCAACTGCAGTGACGACATTGAGAAGAGGGAGGGGATTAAATACTTGCGTACCCTGTTTCAAACCAACGGTTATCCCAATGTTCTTTATACATAAGCGTCTTAAGAAGCCTCTCCTTAAGCGGCCGAATGAAGAAGACGCTAACAATTTACACTAAAAATAGTGTAATTTATATGATAATGCAGTTATACCGTCATTCCAACACAGAGGTCCAGGCAGATGTTTCGCCGATAAAGTATAGACACCATGGGAGTATCTTCAGAGACCGTCGAAACTCCCCTGTCTTTGTCGATGATATTTTTTTAGCCTAAAATATTTTATTCCAATCGTATTCTGTCTTTCCTGCAAGCTGAAGACGCTTCACTGGTTTTTTCACTTTTAGCTTTCTTCGTGGTTCTGTTCATTTTCGACCCCACAATGCCCTTCCGTTGCCGGCCTTGGTTCGCCTGCGCCAGAACTGACCATCGTCGTTAGCCATCTGTCATCGCACATCAAATGCCCAAATTTATTTCGAATACTCGGCATATTCCTCCTTCCCCTGAAACTATACCGCGCACCGACATTAATTTTAACGAATCGATTTGTACCTTTCAAGGCACAATGATGTTTACTGTAGCTTATGATGTCTTCTACAGTTTAGTCGGTCAATAAAGTCCTTGAGAGTACACAAAGAGGCTGCTTTCTCTCAGGAGGTCCAGTTTGGCAAATGTAGCTCTTTTCAAATGAATGCAAACTTTCATGTTGCAGGTGTTTGTATGGATTAGATAGAAGACTTGTCGAGCACCGGATCAACAAGCCTCGAAACGTCTTGTTCTTTAACGATGTAGGCAGATAGAATTACTGGTAAAGACAGCTATTTGCCCATCCTGCCAGCTGCTATGGCTATCAGGACTTCCGTCCAGACCCCAGGCAGAACGGAACATATGAATTCCGGTAGCGGTCGGGTGAACGCTCATCAATGAATGACAATTTTATAAGGGAGGGTAGATTGACGAAAGTGTAAATATCCAATCAGCAGTAAGTAAGGAGGGGGCAGTAATTGTTTAGAGATCAATGGGTAAGATTCGAGCTATAGTAAGCGGCCAGAGAGGGCGGAAGTCGTCCGACTGAGTTATTCTTCGGCAAATGGAGCACTAGTCTCTGTAAAAGCACCTAGGCGCACAACATCGGGTGCCTGCATCTGTTGTTGATGCAGAAATTTGGAGTGTGTCGTCGGGACCTTATAAATGACTCGGAACGCATGGTGGAAATCTTTAAAAATGGTTTTTATTCCCTGTTAAATACGCCAGTCTTTGCGGGTGAATATGTTTCTCTTTGAACACGACATGACAGCTTTACACGAATCTAATGTAATCTCGGCTATGGCTTTATTATTAGTTTTGGCATTTGAAAGGTTAATCAGTCCTCAGTGTAGCTTCCTGTTAATGTCACGAGAGAAATTGTTCTCCTGCGAGCCTAAACGTACTTCTCAAGCAAACTCTTTTGAAAAAATATAAATAGGGAATTTAAGGCCGATAGTAGGCCGGTAAAGACATGGGAGACTGGCATGGCCATGCTTGGCTTATTAGCCGTCTTCAGCCAGTCATACCCGCCCCCAAGTGGTGATCCGCTCGAGGATCGAACTCGCGATTTTAGGATAATAGTCTAATGAAAATATGGGCTTCGCCGACCTGGGTGAAGAACAGTTGAGTTTCGTTTCGCTTAGGGTTTGAATATTGAGGGTTTCAACCCGTGAGCTTGGGTATGACTGGCTGAACTTAATTGCTCCTCATCGAGATCGACGAAGCCCATATATTTATCATATTCCCGATCTAAACCGACAAAGCAAGGAACCCGTGATGCCGTGGTAGAGTATTCAACTCAATGACCAAAGGTCTCGGGTTTGAAACTCGGAGTTTCTAACCCTTGAGATTGGGTATGACTGGCTGACGAGAGCTAACAAGCCAGAAATCGCCATTCCGGTCTCCCTTTGCTTTGTCTGATCCATTGCAAGAGTCTAATCGACCAACCACTGCGCCGCGAACTCAGAGCCCGAGAAATGATAACCAAGACAGAGCGGGACGAGTTAGTTCCATCAGTGGTTGGTGAACATTCATCAACGGTCGGGGATTTTATTACGCTCGTTAATGAACATCGAGCCGCAAAACCATGACTCGTGTAGTACTCGGCTGACGTTCTTGTTGGCGTTATTCAACTTGAAGTTATTTCCGGCTCCCGCCGGATTAGCTCCAATTGTTTCATGTTGTCACATAGTGTTTCATAAACGCGTCTTGACTAAATAAGTATGCCAGCAGTTGCACTATAGTAGTTGTCGATCTGTAGCTGCTAGAGGGTGGTATCGTTACGGAGGTGGTTTTAAAAGTAGACTTTGATATATTTCTGTGTAGTATGCAGAAGGATCAAACACGAATGTAAGTTCCAATCACATTGCCCTATTATATGTCGGGGACAAGTATCCAAATAGTCCAGAGTTGAATACTTTCAGCCAAGTCATACGCTTGACATATAACCGCATGTCGATAACGATATCAG